TCACCTTTAAAGATCATTACGCAGGCTCTAATGCTTCCATTACCTTAACTTGATTACAGAGATCACAGTTAGTAGGAACGCGTGGTTTGTGTGCTAGTGCAGCCGGAACATGGGGTGAACTTCTGTATATGATGCATAATCTAGTACAAATTTACCGCGTCAACCGAGATGACGGGTGTGAAAAGCATTTGGATACGGTGCGTTTTCCTCGTAATGCATACTACTTGTCTTAAAACGTGAAATAGAGACAAAGAAAACAAACAGACACTGAACTACCAAATCTAAACTATATTTTTGCCATTCCTATTGTAACCATCACATATTAGTGATTAATAACAAAATAATCCCACGGTGTACACCCCTCCACAGAAAATACGAAAAGCATCATGTATCACATTACCTGCATGTGATAAATAAAGCTTGTGCATGTACATGAAAACATTAAGAGAACATTGCAATTCAGTTTTATGTACAGACGCACGTCATTCCCTGTGTTTTACGACTAAATGTTAGTACGTGCGACATAAACTATATTTAAGAACATGTGTCGGGCCCACCTGCTCACACAGCAGAAGCACCAGTTGACCCGGAGACGTGGCCCCAGATACGAGAACATTCTGGCGGCTAGAAAACGCATGAACTGTATCTAGTGCTAAATGGACTGATATACTAGTATTCTAATCTATGCTGTTTTAGTACCCTATACTTATTTTTATATATTTATACTAGGTTTAAATGTGTGTCCTGTTTGTGTGCTTGTGATTGTTTTGTGTGTGGGCCACAACACCAGCCCCCGCTGCCTGTGGCCCACGAGTATTGTACTTGCTTGCAATCCTAATAAATCAAATCAAATCAAACGATGGTGAGAATTAGGCCGTACCAATCTTGAAACAAGTTTCTTGGATTATTTTATTTACAAAATTCTTCCGAGCAAATAGATAGCAAGAAGACAAAAGATAAGATATTCCGCTGCTTCCAAATAAACCGGGTATATGCTTAACACGTTTACATCAGTTGCACATATGGTGACTAGGATTATTGTCAGTCACACTGGTGTGGAAATCAAGTATCTC